TAGACCTCCTCCACCTTATCCTCAGCGGTTAGCAAAGCAAAATAATGACAATCAGTTCAAGAAGTTCATAGATATGATAAAGAGCCTTACAATCAATATGCCTTTGGTGGAGGCACTTGAACAAATGCCGGGCTATGCAAAGTTCATAAAGGATTTGGTCACAAAGAAGCGTTCCATGGATTGTGAAACAATAAAGATGACGTACCAAGTTAGTGCGATAGTGCATTTTATGGCCCCGAAACTTGAAGACCCTGGAGCTTTTACTATTCCTTGCACTATCGGGAGTGCGGAGTTTGCTAAGGCCCTTTGTGACTTGGGGGCTAGCATTAATTTGATGCCGTATTCAGTCTTCAAGACTTTGGGAATTGGGCAACCTAGGCCAACCTCGATGAGACTTCAAATGGCGGACCGGTCGATGAAGCGACCTTTGGGTATAATTGATGACGTGCTTGTCCGGGTGGACAAATTCATATTGCCGGCCGACTTTGTCATATTGGATTGTGAAGTGGATTTTGAAGTGCCGATTATTCTTGGGATACCTTTCCTAGCTACGGGGAAGGCCTTGGTTGATGTTGAGGCAGGTGAGTTGACATTCCGAGTGGGAGATGAGAAGGTGGTATTCCATGTTTGCAAATCAATGAGACAACCCAATAGCACGGAAGTGTGTTCACTTGTGGACATTGTCACATCTGTGATAGTGGATGACACAAGTTCCATGATGAATGTTGAAGATCCTCTTGAGGCCGTACTTCTTGGCATGGATGTCGATGATGATGCTGGCAGAGTGGAGTGCATGAATGCATTGCATGGTATGGGTTCGTATTCATATGAGCCTAGGAAGTTATCTTTGGATCTTGAAAACCGCAAAACTCCACCAACTAAGCCATCCATTGAGGAGCCACCGGTGTTGGAGTTGAAGCCACTTCCTCCACACCTCAGGTATGAATTTTTGGGCTCTAATTCAACTCTTCCAGTTATTCTTTCTGCTTGCCTTACTAACTTGCAGGTTGAGGCCACTTTGGAGGTGCTTCAAAGGCGAAAAAGGGCAATAGGATGGATTCTGGCGGACATTAGGGGAATAAGCCCCGCATTTTGTATGCATAAGATCATTTTGGAGCAGGATGCAAGGCCGTCCCTTGAACATCAAAGAAGACTCAACGAGGCGATACAAGAAGTGGTAAAGAAAGAGGTTATCAAGTGGGTTGACGCTGGAGTGGTTTATCCAATCTTTGACAGTTCGTGGACTTCTCCGGTCCAATGTGTGCCAAAGAAAGGAGGGATGACGGTGGTGCCCAATGACAACAATGAGCTTATTCCCACTCGAACCATTACCGGGTGGAGAGTTTGTATGGACTACCGGAAACTCAACAAGGTGACCCGAAAGGATCATTTTCCCTTGCCATTCCTCGACCAAATGCTTGATCGTCTTACGGGGAGAGCATTCTATTGTTTCTTGGATGGGTACTCGGGCTACAATCAAATTTTAATTGCCCCGGAGGACCAAGAGAAAACTACTTTTACATGCCCCTATGGAACATTTGCTTTCTCCCGGATGCCATTCGGGTTGTGTAATGCTCCGGCGACCTTCCAACGTTGCATGATGGCTATTTTCACCGATATGGTGGAGGACATATTGGAGGTCTTTATGGATGACTTTAGTGTGGTTGGTGACTCTTTTGATGAATGCTTGGTAAATTTGGATAGAGTCTTGGCTCGTTGTGAAGAAACTAACCTCGTTCTCAACTGGGAAAAATGCCATTTTATGGTTGAAGAAGGTATAGTGTTGGGCCACAAGATTTCAAAACATGGGATTGAGGTAGATAAGGCGAAAATTGAGGTGATTTCAAGACTCCCTCCCCCTACTTCTGTCAAAGGGGTGAGGAGTTTTCTTGGGCATGCCGGATTCTACCGGCGATTTATCAAAGATTTCTCGAAAGTTGTGAATCCACTTTGCAAATTGCTAGAGAAGGATGCCAAGTTTGTTTTTGATGAAAAATGCATGGAGGCCTTTGAACTCTTAAAACACAAGTTGACCACTACCCCTATCATAACCGCACCTAATTGGAGTTTGCCCTTTGAACTAATGTGTGATGCTAGTGATGTTGCAGTGGGGGCGGTGTTGGGTCAACGGATTAACAAAATGTTCCATCCCGTGAATTATGCAAGTAAGACTATGAATGAAGCTCAACGGAATTACACGGTGACGGAGAAGGAGTTATTGGCCATTGTATTTGCCATGGAGAAATTTCGGCCCTATCTTATGGGGGCCAAGGTGATTGTGCACATGGATCATGCCGCCCCTTAGGTATTTGATGACCAAGAAGGATTCCAAAGCAAGATTGATGAGATGGGTGTTACTTCTTCAAGAATTTGACTTAGAAATAGTGGACCGGAAGGGAAGTGAGAACCAAGTGGCGGACCATTTGTCCCGGTTGGAGGAAGAAGGGAGGCCATGTGACGGCCTTGAGATAAATGATGCGTTCCCCGACGAGCAACTTCTTTCTGTGTCAATGTGTGACATGCCATGGTTCGCGGACATCGCCAACATTATTGTGACTGGAACTGTCCCGTATGAGCTCTCTTCCAACCAAAAGAAGAAACTCAAACGGGATACATTGGATTTTTATTGGGATGATCCGTACTTGTTCAAAATTTGCACGGATGGTGTGATTAGAAGATGTATCCCGGAAGGTGAACAATTGAGCATACTGGAGGCTTGTCACTCCTCCCCCTATGGTGGCCATCATGGAGGGGTGAGGACGACTTCAAAGATCTTGAGTTGCGGTTTCTATTGGCCGACTTTGTTTAAAGATGCTAGTGACTTGGTAAAGAGATGTGATGCATGCCAAAGGGCCGGCAGAATTTCAAAAAGGGATGAGATGCCTCTCAATACGATTCTCGAGGTGGATATTTTTTATGTTTGGGGCATCGATTTTATGGGTCCGTTCGTGAGATCTTGTGGGAACACTTATATTCTCGTGGCGGTGGACTATGTCTCAAAGTGGGTGGAAGCCATGGCTTTACCCAACAATGAAGCCCGTAGTGTTGTGGCATTCTTGAAAAAGAGTATCTTCACAAGGTTTGGTACCCCTCGTGCTATCATTAGTGATGCGGGGTCTCACTTTTGCAACAAGGCTTTCGACTCATGCTTGCTAAGTATGGAGTAAATCACAAAGTTACCACCCCCTATCATCCTCAAGCTAGTGGTCAAGTGGAAGTGTCCAACCGAGAAATAAAGAGTATCTTGTCCAAGACGGTAAATGCTAATAGGACCGATTGGTCGAAAAAGTTGGATGACGCTTTATGGGCTTATCGAACGGCTTACAAGACCCCAATTGGTATGTCCCCGTACCGGTTGGTGTTTGGAAAAGCTTGCCATCTTCCGGTGGAATTGGAGCACAAAGCTATGTGGGCCTTGAGAAAGGTGAACTTGGAATGGGATGTTGCGGCGAATCTCTGTGTTGAGCAACTTAATGAGCTTGATGAGTTTAGATTTCATGCCTACTCCAGCTCGTCCTTGTATAAGGACAAGATGAAGTATCTTCATGACAAATATGCTCGGGGAAAGGAATTCAAGGTTGGTGATATGGTTCTCCTTTTCAACTCCCGGTTGAGGTTATTTCCGCAAGCTCAAGTCAAAGTGGAGTGGGCCATTTGAAGTTGTATGTGTAACTCCGTTTGGTGCTCTTGATCTCAAGAACAAGAATGGTGAAGTTTTCCGGGTCATGGGCATCGTGTCAAGCATTATTTGGGGAAGTTTGATGACAGCCACGTGGTGGCACTCGTTCATTTGAAGTGATGTGATGGTAACATGCGTCGTGTCGCGATGTTAAATCAGGCGCTTCTTGGGAGGCAACCCATTAATTTTTTTTTATCGTTGATTTTCTTTGTAGCTTAGGATTTTTTGAGCTAATTGTTTGTGAGATGTTGCAGGGATTGTGTTGAAGCAGTGAAAACCAAAGGAAAAACACTAGTAGTCTCTGAAGTTGCCAGTGCGGACCGCGGTGCACTTTTGTGCGGTCCGCGCTGGCATGATTAAAAATGCATGCTCTCTGAAGTTTTCCACCGCGGCCGCGGTCAAATTTCTTGCGGTCCGCGGTGGACCTTCGCGTCCGCGGTGCACTCCAACGCGGCCGCGCAAGGTTGCCTTCTGAAACTTTGGATTTTGAAACCCAGCGCGGTCCCCGGTCACTTTTGTGCGGCCGCGCTGGTAGGTGAGTGTGGGGCCCCCAGTTCTTCTATAAATAGGGCCCTAGGGTTTCATTTTACCCTTTTCGCACTTTGAACACTCAGAGCTATAGGACACTGTTCATCCCCTTCTGAGACTATTTTTCTGAATTGCTTGGACTAATTGCATTCCATCTTCACAGTCTTGGTAACATTTCATGCACTTGTGATTAATTAATTTCTTATTTTCATTTTTTTTATGGCTTGTTCAGTAGTTTAGCTTCTTCTTTTTCTTTAACTGTTAGTTTAGGTTAGTTTAAAACTAGGGTAATGCATTGAATAGGCTTAATCAATGGGTGAACTGAGTAGGGACAAAGTAGGTGTAAAAACTTGAACAAGAATGGAAAAATATGCACCTCTAACTTAGTACCCGTAAGCCCTAACTCAGCGCGGTCCGCGGTCACTTTTGCGCGACCGCGCTGCCCCAACGCGGTCCGCGTTATAATTTTGTGTGGACCGTGGTGCTTTTGTGATTGAAAGGTAATAGTCTCCAGCGCGGCCGCATTCATGTTTGTGCGGTCCGCGCTGGCCCACCGCGGCCGTGTTACATTTTTGTGCGGACCGCGGTGGGAGATTCAGAGAGTGTGAATTTTGGGCCTTGCCCAGCGCGGACCGCGGTCAAGTTTGTGTGGTCCGCATTGCTAGGTTCTGCAATCTATTCTGCTACTGTGTACTGATATTGTCTCTGCAATCTATTTTGATTCACTTGTTTCACTGCATGTGCTTAAACTAACAATGTTAGATGCTTATCTTTGCAGATAATGGTAAAAAAAATGGGCGCTAAACAATCTCAACAATCCGGGAGAGGTGGTTCCTCCCGAGGGGGTAAAGGAAAGCGAATTGCAAAACTCACTCCGCAGGCTCGGGAGAATATAAAAAGGACCCGCAAATGGATACGAGCTGCTGACAAGGCTGCGTCTCATTCATCAGGGAGTGAGTATGTGCCCTCCAAAGATATCTCCTCCGATTCAGTCCCAACACATATAACTGACCCACTCCACCTAGCCGATACCCCTTCACCATCACCCACCTCCAAAAGACCAGTGACTGTAGTCTCGAATTCTTCTGACGAGCCCGCAGCTGGTAGTGAGCAATACTCCACCTCCCCCACAGCTTCATTATCTGGGGAGAGTACAGGTCAAGATGAGGGAGGTGAACCTCAGGTTGGGGGGATTGAGAGAACTAGGAAGCCTGAAGTGTGGGAGGATCGGTTTGTCAGTCAAGTGGCCTTTCATAAGTTTAGGGAATGGTGGCCGTTGAGGAAGTTGATACCGGAGAGGACTTCTATTGACACTGACCTTTTACCCCACAACCCGAACGTGCAGAGAGAATTTAGAACAAGATGGGGCTGGGAGTTCTTTATGGAGAGGTGCATTGATGCTAGCGAGCACATGGTTAGGGAGTTCTACTCCAATGTGGCTCATATAGTCAAGGATACCAAGGTGACCAAAGTTAGAAACAAAACAGTGTTGTTTAATGGGAGATCGTTAAATGAGTATTTGGGGTTCCGTGATGAAGACGAGTCTCTTTATTTGGCAAAGTTGGCAATGGGAGAGGAAGTCCGCCCGTGGTTGGCCCAGTACTTGGCAATCCCAGGTACTGTGCCGGAGTGGTTGCAAGCAGGAAAGAAGATATTCAGGAAGACATTCAGTTTTGAGGCTCGAGGGTGGTTGACCTTTGTATGCAGTCGGCTTAACCCTTCTATTCATGAACAGACGATTCCACTTACCCGAGCAGTTCTGGTTGCATCTATTATGGCTGGGTACCCTATCAACGTGGGCAATGTGATGTCCCGTGTGATTTCTGCGGTGGGGCAAGAGCATAACAGGAATTATCCTTTTCATGTATTTCTGGGATCTGGAGGTGGAGAAGAGGAGATATGATGTCAAGACCAAGCCTGTGGCTCCTTACTCTTGGTACAGTATGCAGGGGCCGGACAACCCTAAATCCAAGAACTACAAGCCACCTTCCTCTGCCCCAACTGACCAGTCTGAGGAGCCAGTTGCGGTAGAGCCTTCTGCCACACCTGCTGCCACTACAGTTGAGGACTTGCCTCCAGGACCTTCTTCTTCTGCTGGTCCTAGTACTTCAGCAGGCCCGAGAGTGCCATCTTCCAGGACTCATCCATTCACTGCCCATCAGCTGAGTTAGACTTTGGCTAGCCTGAACAACTGGATGTCAGCAGCGACATCCAAGTTGTCCACCTTGTCTTCCACTATTCAGGCCCAGGCAGCACCTCAGCCAGTTTAGATTCCTCAGTCCATTGAGGATACCTTGAAGAAGCTCCTGGAGAACCAGGAAAGATTTTGAAGACTCAGGCTACCCTATCTGCAGCAGTGGAGTCACATGGCAAGGCTCTGAAGGAGCTTGCCAAGGAGCACAGAAAGATGCGGAGGTCACGGGCTTCAAAAGAGTCTGTGAAAGAGCTGCGGAAAGATGTGGACAAGCTATTGGCAGATCAGATGCCTTTAGACTTGTTATTTGGGGATCCAGCCCCTCCAGCAGCAGCACCAGTGCCACAGCCAGAGCAGGAGTAGGTACCCAGGCAGCCTAGGAAGAAGAGGAAGCTTCCCAGCACAGCAGATGCGGTTATTGAGGTGGCAGTCCCACAGGAGGCCTCCTCCATTTTGCCTTAGGATGCACCTGTCATACAGCCGGTCCAGGAGCAGGCTCCAGTCCCAGCAGTTGAGCAGCAGGAGGCCGGGAGCCAGTCTGAGGCTCCCGCACGTACGGAGGACTTGGGGACCACAGATGACCCCATGCAGACGGACCTAGCTTAGGGAGCCCCTATATCCTTTGCTATGACTTTTTGTTTGATGCTTATTTTGGTAGTTGGCATTGGGGACAATGCCAGCTCTTATTCGTGGGGGTGCGCCCTACTTTTTTGATGACTATCGGGATGACTGTGCATATTTGACTCAGTTTTTATTCCTTTTGGTTGATTTTTTATTTGGTATGTAAATAACTTTACATTCAGTACTTTTTATTTTCTATTTTGGTTTGTATATAAAGCTAAGTTACAATTTTGTATATATTCATCCCCATTTGTATATTCTAATCCCCTATTGTAAATATTCATTCTATTTTCTATTTTCGCAAAAAAATTTCATTTTTAGCTTTATAGTTAGGCTCGTAGCCTTTTGTTTTATTTTTAGGGTGGCTGAAATGACTCTTTGCTTCTGTTACAGTAGGTTCTCAGGCTGTCTTTTCACCTTTTGGACAGCCTTTGAACAGTGTTTATCACACAAAGTCAGTCTCTTTTTGGACAGATTTTTGGTGAACCAAAATCTGTCCAAAAAGTGGCTTTCTTTGCCTACTTAAGGGCTGCCCTTTCCTCACTTTAGGGAGGACTCTATCACACTTCCATACATCTTTAGAATTGCTTGAACACACAAAAACATAAAAAATTTCAGCAGTTGAACAAATAAAAAGTAAGCTGAAAATCATGAGTTTTTGGTTGTGTCTTAGAGTGCAAAATCTTTCAAAAACATATAAGAGTCTTAGAGTTTGATTCTTGAGTTCCTTCTCTTAAAGAGTCACTACTTTTAGTGAGACTTCTGGGCTGTTTTAACACGGATTCACTGCTGTTTCGTTGCTATTTCTGTTGTCTTTATTGCTGATTTTCTGCCCTTTCACTACTAAATTTCATCTTGTTACAAATCAGGTAACCCTTGAACCTTTGTATTGCAGATTCTTGATAACAATGAAAAGATTTGAACCTGTTTGATAAGTGGAACATGTAATATTTGATTTTTTTCCCAAGATAATTGTTGCATCAATATTATAGCATGTAAATATGTTGTATTTAGCATAACTTTTATTTTTGTTCGCAAAACAATACTCTGTTAGTGGGTTATTTAGTTGCTAAAAGATCTATCTCTTTTGTTTGCTCCATTTTTGTTAAGCTTAGCAAATGTTCCATTACCTATTTGTTCTTTTATCATATTTTTTTTTCTTCTTAAAATTACGTTGTCTCTGTTTGTTTATCTATTTTCATTGTTTATTATGTACTTTGAGTTGGATGATAGTTTAGATGCCATTTTTAGTGTCTTGTGAATCTTTTTGATAAATGGTGAAAGGATTAACTTTGAAGTAAGAAAAGTTTCTTGTTAGCTAAAAGTTAAGTAGATCCAGGGGTTTTAGTTTGGTATAGTGGTTAATTTTTGTCATGCGCCCATTTCGTCTCCTGACTCGTTGTTTTTGTATTACTAATAAGCTAAGAGTTTTATCACTGTTATTTGCTTTCCGGGTTACTTTCAGGCTAACTAGATTGTAGTATTTATCTATTAGTAGTAAATAAAATAGTAGTAGTCTTTTGGAACTAATAGGCCATGATATATCATGTAAGAGATAAAGTAATTGGGCCCAATAAATTAGGTCCAGGTCTGAAGCACTGAAGCATGCTAGATGGCCCATATTTTTTTTATAACTATGTGCGCCAAGAAACTCAATTTCTGCAGGCCTAATGGCAATTAAGCTAGATGGCCCATTCCTTTCTTCTTTATAAAAAAAAATAAGTAAAATGTTGGTCCATTTCTCCGAAGATAACCATGAGTTAGCCCAAATGATTAAAAACAAAGTTTCTTCCATAGATCCAATAAAAGTGTATGTCTCTTTTAATAATTTTATTTTCTTTTTTTCTTCTTCTTGATAGCTTAATTATTTTCAATTAATTTAAACGCTAGGCAATTAGTAGGCGCGCTTTAACTCACGGAATCGCTTGCGTAGCGTGATGTTTAACATTCAATAAATTAATTCAATAATCTCATACCATACCCATTAGTTTTTAGTTAAATTTTAATTTAGTTAATCACTTTGCTAAAATTGTGGATTCGCTTGCGTAGCGCGATAGTTGACTTTTAAATTTTCAAGAGCTAATTTTCTCAAATGTAGTAATTTTGTAAAAGTATTACAAATAATTGATTGTCATGATTTCGGATTCGCTTGCGAGGCGCAATTATGACAAGTTAATTAATTTTTTTTATTCAATCACGCATTCGCTTGCGTAGCGTGGTTATGATAACATAATATTATCTAAATTATTTTGTTTATCAATTCTAATAATCAAGAAATAAAAGCGGGTAGGTAAAACATGAAAATCATACAAATCACCGTTTGTCCATAATTAATTAAAGCCAAGTTTAAGTCAATAAAGCAACCGTGCTAGAACCACGGGACTCGGGGAATGCCTTGCACCTTCTCCCCGGTTAATAAAATTCCTTACCCGAACTTTATTTTCGCGGACCGATAATAATAGGGTCAAACCTTCCTTTGGCTAAGGATTCAAATAAATGGTGACTTGGAAGACCGAAAAATTAATTCCAAGTGGCGGCTCTGAACAATAAAATAATCCCTACTCAAGTTTGTCACTTTAATTGGAAAAACTCTTTACCCCATAAATCCATACACATATCTTTTTGGGGGAAGAAAAAGGGGTGTGACATGAGTCTGTCTTACCTACCTTTCCAACCCCAATGATCTCACCTTTCTTACCATTTCTAAAGGAGACATTACCTCCCTTTAAGTTCTCAAGTGAAAGGAATTGGTTCTTGCTTCCAGTCATATGAGCAGCCACTATCCATGTACTATATTTGGCTTCTTCCCTTTACTTGGACCTGCAAAACGAAATCAGGGGTTAGTCTTAGGAACCCAAACTAGTTTGGGTCCCTTTCTATAGGCAAAAAGGTGAATTAAATTCTTTTTAGCCCATCCTGGCAACCTTTCTTTCTCTTGAACAAATTTTGTTCTTTTGACTGGCCTTTTCTTTTGCATTACATTCACTTTTGTAATGACCAATCTTACCACAGTGTATGCAAATTTTGTTCTCAGAAAGTGTGATGTACTTGCTTTTGGGATCCCACTTAGGTGCAGGGGTCCCATAGCCAAGTCCTCTCTTATTGCTACTGTGATGTTCTTGTAGCCAAGATAGTGCATCAAAGGACTTATTCCATTTGCAAGTTCTGTCTAGTTCATGCTTAACCTTGCCTAGATCTTCGTTTAGGACTCTTATCTGCTCATCTCTTTTGTACAACTCATCCTTCATTTTTCCTAGATTTTCTTCTAAGGTGAGATGTGTGATCAGCTTTCTTTTTACCCGTTCCTAATTTCAGTTTTAAATTTTCAGATCTAAGCTCTAGCACAGTGGTGTCAAGTTCAAGAACCTGGTTCTTCAACTCAGTATTTTTACTATCACTTTCACTAGCCCTGAGTTCCAGATTTTTTCACTTAGCTTTCATGATTACACATTCCCAAGACAGCTAATTTTTCTCATTGTTTATGACCTCAGACTCATCAATGAAATCTAGCAGTAACTCAGATAGCTTTTCTTTAGTCAAAAATTTAATCTTGTCTTTGAGATGAATCACACTTACCTCTTGTTCATCATCTGATTCTCCAATGGCCATAAGTGCTTGTTCATCTTCATCTTCTGAATCCTCATCTGAGCTTTCTCCCCAAGCAGCAACCATAGCCTTTGTGGATCCTTTGTTCTTCTTGGGATGAACATGTTCCTTCTTTCTATTTCTTCGTTCAGCCCTTTCTTTCTTCCATTCAATTTCCTACTAAGGACAGTTCTTGATCATGTGGTCAGTCTTACCACATTTGTAGCAGCCCTCGTTGGTCTGTTTTTCAGGGGCCCTTGGTTTGTTGAAGTTTGGACCTCTCGAAGAACCCTTTCCTCTCATTAGATACTTCTTGAAATCCTCGTGATTATAGCCATTTCATCGTCCTCTAAATCTGCACCTTCAGCTTTTCTGAGGGCCAAGCTCCTTTCCTTCTTGGGTGCATCCATCTTCATGGTTTGCCTTCTATGTTCATAGGCAGTGAGATTTCCAATTAGCTCATCCAACTTGAGAGTGGCAATGTTCTTTCACTCCTGAATAGCAGTGATTTTGCTTTCCCAAGTCACTGGTAAAACCCTTGTCAAGATTTTCTCAACCTTGTCTTCTTCAAGGATAATCCTTCCAAGAGACTTAAGTTTATTTGTTAGTGTTGTGAACCTTGTGTACATCTTTTGAATGGTTTCTCCTTCCTTCATGGTGAAATTCTCATATTGAGAATACAGCAGCGTTCCTCCTGATCTCTTTACTTGAGGAGTTCCTTCATGAGCCACTTGTAAAGTGTCCCAAATCTCCTTATCAGTAGTACAACTTTGAATTCTGCTGTACTCGTCTGGACCAAGTCCACACACTAGCCATTTCTTGGCCTTGGCATTCTTTTCCCACTTCTTCAAGTCCTCAGCAGTGCAGTCAGCTCTAGTCTTTGGCACATCCATTCCGTCGGTATTCTTCTTTGTAGTGGCCAGGGGAGCATCAGTAACAATGTCCCAGAGTTCATAGTCCTCTCTTATGATGTGATCTCTCATCCTGTTTTTCCACCAGGAATAGTACTGGCCATTAAAGAGTGGAGGCCTAGCAGTGGATTGTCCTTCCCAATTTCCAGGTGGTGCACTCATCTTGATCTATTCCTAAGGTGTTAGCCTCTTCAAGGATAACCTGCTCTGATACCAATTGATGTTTTATACTTCAATACCACACAAGAGGGGGTGGGGGATGATTTGTGTGGTACCCAATTTTTCGCTTAACCTGATTATGGAAGGATATGGTTCTTCTATGTGTTCCAACTACTACTGTTGCGGAATAATATGTACAAAAATTGAAGAACACAAAGATTTTACGTGGAAAACACCTGGCTCAAAAGGTGAAAAAACCACGAGCTACTTTCCAGTAGGATTTTCTCAAACTCTCCACTAAAATCACTGAGCCAAAAACTGCATTTACAAAAAACTCTTTTGTAAACCTAGGATTAACTCTATTCCCGTTGTAGCACACAACCTCAACTGTTGCGACAACTTCAAGTTAACTCTAACTTAAAAACTCTGAGTACCTAATACAATTGCTTCTAGATAAGCTGAAAGGTACAATATAAAAACTACCTACTACAATTGAACTAGAATAAAAGACAGACACTTGGAACTGGTTCTTCTATCTGGTTCAAGTAGCTTCAGGTTTGCACGCTTGAATCACACACAAATTGCTTGCAAAATTGCCTTGCTATTTTGCTCTCAATTTAAGTTTAATTTCTGCTTATGTGCGTTACCTGTAAAAGAGAACAACACTGATATTTATGGAGTTAGTAAATAGAGATTGCCTAGAATTCTGATGCTACTCTTCCATGGTGGAAGAGTTCTAGTTGAACTCATCCTCTAACTTTATCCGTCTCTTAAGCAGTGTTCTCTTTGTGTAAGGAATCTTTCTCCTTATCCAATATGCAACCTTTTCGATCATGATCAGGAGATATTAGATTTATCTCCTTCACGTGCATCTCACATGCTTGAGCTGATCATATCTGTGCCTCGCAAGGATGGATCTGGTCCATGTCTGAGTTCCTTTATCAGTCTTCAAAACTCACTTTTACTTGGGCCAACATTCTTCATAAATATTCTTGGTGCATGTTAAAGTTATAATAATATATAGTGGGGTTCTCAGCTCGTTTTATTGTAGTAGTTCTCTTAATTGTTCTTTTGAGTGGAATCATGGTTTCTGCTGACATGTTTATAGGCAGGCGCATGCTTGGTGCTGGTGGCTCAGGTGGCGGCGGCAGCGGCGGTTTATTTGGCGGAGGAATGGGTGCTGGTGCAAGTAATGAACATTTAGGAAGTGGTGGTACTGGAATTGGTGGAGGATTGCTTGGTGGTGGTGGTCATGGCTCTGGTGGCGGAGACTAATTAATTAATTAACCTTAATTATCTTAATTAATTGCAAAAGAAGTTATGTGGATTATTGTTTTTGCTGTTAAAAGTGAAGTTTGTATTCGGACATGGTGTGTGGAACATTGTTTGTCGTGTCTCTATATTCGGCTACTTGTTTGGAACTAAGCCATAGTTATTATTATGATTTCTCGCAAAAGAATTTCTTGTTATATTCGATCCTTTACGCATTGTATTATTTTTATGCATACAATTTCTTAACAAGATTGTTGCTTTTGCAGTTTCTCCTTTTTTTTGTGTAAGTTTGAATAGGAGCCTTGGCGTAACTCGTAAAGTTGTTGTCATGTGATCAGGAGGTCATGAGTTCGAGCTGTGAAAATAGCCTCTTGCAGAAATGCATGATAAGGCTGCGTAAGATAGATCCTTGTGATCCGACCCTTCCCCGTACCCCGCGCATAGCGAGAGCTTAGTACACCATGCTACCTTTTTAAGTTTGTGTTTGGAGTGTTTCTTTTGGATTGACTCTTTGTTTCTTGGATTTTGATTCATTAAATTAAAGAACAGCTTCTTGATTTGTAAATCTTTCACATATTGTATCATTTATATGTATTTTTATGACTCTTTCTTTCCAATCAGCTTTCAGTATCAGTTGTATTCGAGAGGCTTAATGACAAGAATGGAGTGTGAATAAGGCCTCTTTTTCTCTACCTATTTTAAATGTTATTCAATTGATGTGCAAATCTGGAGAGGTTCAATGTCAAACAACTTCGACAACAGCCTTATCCAACTTTATAATTATGAAAATGATACTATAATTAATTGGATAAAACCAACAGAAAGAGTAGAAAAGCAAAAGAAGAGAGAATCTAACACACTAGAAAGCTACAATTCTTATTAATATGGTTGGATAATACAATAGTCCACGAGCTTTACATGCAAAGATGTAAAGAAACTTCAAGGAACAAAACCACTTTAATGTATCGGATTACAAATGCAAACTCTTGTTTAAGTAGTACTCCCATTTTTAACAAGTTCCACAAAAGAATAACAACTATATATAGAAGTACATAATATCTTGATCACTTTCTTAGCTTATATATGCAAGAAGATGGTACTAATCGATGATCAATGCTTACCACCACCAATGCCTCCTCCACCACCAAAACCACCACCACCTCCACCTCCTAAACCACCACCTCCGCCAACGCCTCCACCAGCTCCAAACCCTCCTCCAGCACCAGCACCACCACCAATACCACCACCTCCACCACCACCAAAGCCTCCGCCTCCACCTCCACCTAAACCACCTCCAGCACCTCCACCTGCACCAAAACCACCTCCAGCACCACCACCTGCACCTCCACCTATGCCTCCTCCACCACCAGCTCCACCACCACCACCAAGTCCACCACCTCCACCAAGTCCTCCTCCAGCTCCACCGCCAAAACCACCACCAGCTCCACCACCTACTCCACCACCCCCACCAAGTCCACCTCCTCCACCTAGTCCACCACCACCTCCTAGACCTCCACCGTGACCCAACCCACCGCCTGCACCACCTCCTAGACCTCCACCATGACCTAGTCCACCACCTCCTCCTAATCCACCCCCACCACCGGCACCACCTCCAAGACCACCTCCTCCACCTGCACCACCACCTAGACCTCCACCATGTCCTAGCCCGCCGCCACCTCCTAATCCGCCTCCGCCTCCCAGACCACCACCAGCACCTCCACCTAAACCTCCACCATGTCTAAAACCCTTACCATAAATCCCACGTCCAAAACGTTTCCCATACTTTGGACGTTTATGTCCAAGGAGGAACTTCTCATCTTCACCTCCATTAACATCAGCAAACACCACACAATCAACAAACAGAACAACTAAAAGAAAACACCCAAGAAAACGAGCTGATAATCCCATTTTTACTTCAGCTCTTAAACCCTAGATATGCAAGAAGCACAGCTATTTGAGCCAATTATATAGTAGCAAAAGTTACACAGTTTTTCGCACGATATCACATGGTAGGTCCAGTTAAAACTCAACCGTTATCTTCTACTACGTAAATGCATTTTACTTTCCGATTAGGCAAAACTTTTAATTCTTCCAACTGCCACCTTCTAATACACGGACACAGACTATAAAGTCACAAAGACAGCTCCATTGTCATTACTGCTTTGGTTCTTGGATATTTGACTTTTAACGGATAATTTTGGTTTTTCTTTTTCCCACGACTTTAGGGAATGGATAATTAATTCAAAGATTAAATTTGAGATGAGTTTATCCCATATTTAGGATAAAATCATGATATAACTAATCTCGGGATTAGTTATTCTGGAATTGTAGTATTTCTTTATCACTATGGAAGGGTGAAATAACTAAATCCAAGATAACTAATCCCGGTATATTTTTCAGCTGTTTGATTGAAGAGTGAAAAATATTTTGCAAAAAGAATATTTATTAGAGATTGATAATAGTCCGATGGTGATTTAATTTGGTAAAAATTATTTAGTACTCCCTCCGGTCCAAAATAAGTGATTTTTTGGATGTTTTTACACAGATTAAGAAATTCACCTTTTAACATTAATTAGTAATGGAATTGACCATATTAACCTTTATTATCTCACATAAACACTCCTAACACATATTCCAACACTATTTACTCCAAGGACAATGTAGGAAAAAAATAATTAATTTATTCTTGATATCTGAAAAAATCACTTATTTTGGACCACAAGAAAAAGGCCAAAAAAATCACTTATTTTGGACCGGAGGGAGTATTAAAGATTGACATTAATATACGTGTTAGTCAAGTAATGATATAAAGTTAAGAGTTCGAGAGAATTTGAAGTAAAATGGCTTCCGCCCAAAGGTGAGGAAAATGTTTCAACTAAAAATATTTTTTTGACAGCCAAACATATAAAAATGACTTTTTTCAACATTTTCGAAAGATATTTTATATATCAAGCACACTAAGGTGTCCCATTTATTTGAATTTTATCCACAATGGTGTTTAGTTGATTCCCCGCGTAAGCCAGTTCGAAAGAGCAGTTTGATTAGCTATCCCCTTAACAATTAATACAAAAGGCGTAGCTAGAGTTCAGCTGCGAATTTGGTAGAACTCAGTAGCTTTGACCAAAATCTTATATTTATGTTACAAAATTCATTAAATAGTATAAATAATTTGTGATCAAAACCCAGCGAACTTACTTTTCTAAAATTTAGAATCCATAAACCTAAAATTCTGAATCCGTCTCCGCTTGATACTCTAGATCATTATAACTTCCTTGTCCTATGGTCCATCAGCTTGATTCTTTTTTTCCGTGTAGGCCATTCGTTATTAATGGCGTGCCTTTGTATTCAAAGGGCTCTATTAATTGGGTCTTCTGAATGTAATTAATAGAGCAACCAAACAATTTCTGCCAACAGTTTATATTCTCTCTTTCTCTTTCAGAATATAGAAAGCTACTGCTTACAAAAAAATTCCTTGGTGCAAAATAAGCATAGCCATTAATGTAATTTCTGTTCTTTCTTTTCTCGGTTTGTTTTTCATTTTTTGCTGCTTTTCTTACTTCTCTCCTACCATATAGTATTACTTTTTAAATGGAATTCAATTTAACTTAAATACCGATGATTTAACGAAACTTTACAGTATTAATATACTTTAGCTAGCTATAATAGCAAGTTATTATGTACTAGCTACTTTATATATAGTCTAGGTAACTAAAGTGGACTTACTATAATATTGGCAGTTATCTATAATTGCATGTCATCTTAATATGATGATGGTATAAAAAAGTATATTGTTAGTACATAAAAGTTGTATTATTTAAATTTTCTTACTATTACATAGAGGAAATATAGAAATTGAGGCGACATGATATTTATGTGTTAGAATTAATCTCTTTAGTGTCTCTAGTCTTATGCTATATGTCAAGGTTCTCTACTACTAAAAAGCTGTATAATTTCGCCCACCAAAACTGACCGAAATCGATCAATTTGCGACCGTTTTTAATTGGTCGGAAAAATGATGGTCGCTAACGTGTACCGACCGAAATCGATCTGAACTTCGGTCGGAAATTTCAAAGCGTTGACTGATTGTCAACCTTTAATTTCCGACCGAATTCTGTCGGTAACCATTAATTTTTTTTTTAGTTTTCAAATACCGACCGAAATAGGTCGGAATTTTAAAAAAAATTATTTAAATAAATAATTAGTTTTAAATTGTAATAATATTAATTTATTTTAAAAAATAAATATAAATTCATAATTTCCGACCGAATTCAGTCGAAAATTTCAAAAAACTGGAGAATTTATTTGAAATTTCTGACCGAATTCGGTCGGAAATTACGGATTTCTAGGAAAAAAATAATTTCCCTTCGATTTCGGTCGGAAATTTGGGTAAAATTTGGGCAGAATATGCTTGCTTTTAAGCTACACCACCTGTCAATTACAACCAATATCCATCCTATAATGGCAGCATTACATTGCTGCCATTCAACCATAATTAATCAACAACAATTAACTAACTAACAACAACAACAACAATTAACTAACAAAAATGATTAACTAACACTAACAACCATTATCTAACAACAACAACAACTATACAAATGTTCAATAACAAAATAATATCAACAATATAATCATCATTCAAAACTAGTCTCAACAAAATATTGAGAAGATCAAAACTTTGTTTAGCAATACACACCATTCAATGAGTGTTTTATCTAGCATCATCTCCATCTTCACTGATCCTAGAACCTTCATTGTCAGCATGATTCGAAGGATCACGACCAGAAGGATTAGCACACGAGGAAGCTCACGAGACTGGAGAATGGGGAAAGCACCACTAGCAAGAAGATTGGCCAGCTGACCTTGAAGGAGATTAAATTGTTCGCCCCTCCTTTCTAGTTGAACTTGAAGGGTACCAAATTCGATATATATATATATATATATATATATATATATATATATATATATATATATATATATATATATATATATATATATATATATATATATATACATACTAGTTTTTGGCCACGTGCTCTGCACGTGTATCCCATTCTAATCCATGCAAACTTTTTAAAAGATACAAATAATATTATTTGAGTGCGATGAGTTCCACTAAATTTGAAGGGGAAATACAAGTTTAAATTGATAAATGGTGAACCTATCCGAGCAACTTAATTATTGAATGTAAGAGATTATATTAGAATATGTTTGAACAACTAAATTTGGTTACGTGAAATTGTCATACAATCAACTTGATAATTGTTTTATATATATAGATATGCATATTTCAATGATATATAGTTTACACATGCATGAGCTATGTTGCCTATGATTGCAAGTACTTAAAATCTAAAAGTTTCTGTCAGTTCTTTAAGAAAGTATAGCCTTCTTTCTTTTACAGAAACATAAATGTTAAGAAGTTATTGTCGATTGAATATAATAATTTGTAGAATCTGTACAAAATTAGATCAATATATGTCTCCCTCAGGATTGCTTAGCATATCATTGTTCATTTTATGGTATAAAGCTCTACAAAGTAGTAGGAGTAGATATTTGTAATAGAGATACTTAATAGTTACTGGTATAAAAAGTATCATTGACATCATAACTGCAGATAAATCATTAACTATTTTGTACATAAATTCTTGAAAAAGAAAAAGGCAACAAAATCACGCTTCTAAACTTTCTGTTAGAACTCTGTATTCAAAATCAGAAAATGAACAAACATTAGTTTAAAAACGAAAGCAGAAAATTCCGAGCCCACAAGTTTCTTGTATTTCCTTAAGGAATTTAATCTCCTCACAATGCCCAAGGTTGCGGATTTATTCCTCCCGGGATAGAACGGAATAACTATTCTGTGATAGCGGCACTTCAAATCACAGAATTTCGGCGAACTCAAATGGCGGAGCAAATCACACAAAATGCTTACGTTTTTTGTTTTGGAAAAACAATGCAGAATGCAGAAGTTTGAGGGGAGTGATTTCAGATTTTTTCGGTGGTGAAAAATGAGGCTAAGCCTTCCAAATCCGAATAATCCAAAGCCGATGCCGAAGCCGAGCCGAGCCGAGCGAGCGAGCGACGACGGCGGCACGAGGCACCACTTCTTCTTAACTCTTTAAGAGCTAGAAGATGAGCTTCTATATATATATACACAAAGATTTTCTTTCCTTCTTCCAATGAGGGACAAAGTGCATTAGTAAAGTGAACTAATTCAAAATTTCACTTTTCACCATTTTCCATTCACACCTCTTTTGTTATTAATAACAAAACCCAACACTTTCAAGTAGGGGTGTGCATTCCATATATCGATTCGATTTTGACCCTTATCGATAATTGCTTATCGATTATCGATTTGTACATATGCTTATCGTTATCGTTTCAATAAGGTTTTGATCTTTTCGATTTCGATTTATCGATTTTGGGGGCTTATCGATTCGGTTATCGATTACACCAATAAAAAAATTTGAGGGATTCCACGGAAAGTATATCGCTATAATTGCGCCTAACTAATATGGACAAAAAGAAGCTAAAATAAGACAAACACCATTTATAATATAAAAATTGTGTCAACAAGCACATGCAACAAAACTAAAGTAAGGGATCAAATGTATGCCACCAACACTCCAACGGTATAAAAAAAAAACACATTATCACGGCTAATTCTGTTTTTCATTAATTTGAACTTCATTCCCTTGATCTTTAAATATGATCATTCCTTAAATGTGGTAGAGGAAATAATAGGGTAAGGGACTTAGGGTAAAGGAAAGGGTATAGATTAGGGAAAATAATATTATATAGCCACTTTCAAAATAGTAGCGGAACATATATACATTCTGTATGTTATATTAATCTACACAAATAGGTAATTACTCATTTAACAAGTGTCTACAGTCTAGGGGTGTGCA